GATCCAAATGCATATATAGGGTGCATGACGAGGGACGACTGGACAGATGCCGTAGAGCGATAGCCCGAGTCCACTCTTTACAGCATAATTACACAGTACGAACAAGATTGGACGTCATCTGATGAATGGGAGGATAAACGCGTACCTCTCGATCTCACGAGCGATGAGTCCGTAGGCGACGCTGCTTACGCCCGCACAGCCGTAGCCTTGAATAGTGGGCCCAAGGAGGCCAAGCGAGCCCATCTCGGGGAGAATGGAGGTGTCGAGGACTGGGGAGGGTTGTTATGAGTGAATTGTATCATGAGAGTTCAGGGGGGGAGTCGGCTCGAGCGCGCAGTAGGTAGAAGGTGTATAAGGCCTGAAGTCAAGGATGAGGCACCTACTTTCGGTGCGCCAGCCCTTGAGGACGCGGGGCATGAGTCTCTCCTACTAGAACGTTGTGTTTAGTGACACGGCTGAGGACGTTTGTAGCCCTTCGGCGGTCGAGTCACTACTTGCCTGACAGTAATCCCGAGCCATGTTACTACAGCATTGCCATTCAGTGCTGAGCATAATATATATGAATGAAGGGGCTATTAGACTGACCGAATGGCGATTTCCTCCTCCGTCAGCAAAGATTCGAGGTTGAGAGGGTCCTAGGGGTAGAAGGTGAAGCACATCGTTTGAGTTGCTCCAGAGGCGCAAACATACCTCCCATTCGAACTTAGCAAACTCTGATCACATGCAGATTTCATTCAAGAGACTCAGTAACGTATTTGCAGATTGGGCTCACTGCTTGAGCTTGAACCGGAGCTCGTCGAGGACGCTGAGCGAGTCGCTGTGCACGACGCCCGAAATTGACGGTGCAGAAGTCGCAGACGTGAACTAAGCTTTGAAGATTGCATGACTGCCGGCTTTCCAGGTAATGAAGCTATAGATATTCAAGATAGAAACGAGTGCCAGAGCAACCTGGTAATTACAAGAGGATTACACCGGCAAGCGGAATGAATCGTACCGAACCCAAGTCCGAACAAGTTCCGCCCGAAGTCTGGGGTAGATCTCAGATCACTCTAGGGTTAGTCCCATGGACCATGCAGACCAGTCTGTGAGCCCCTTCCTGAACCTAAACTTCATCTTGCGCCCATCACTTCCTGTATTACTGTATTCGACCATTCATTGGGGCATCGGTTCAACTTGGCTATTATCACTAGTTAGATTCACGGTGGGCGCACAATTGGAGGACGTATTGCCGTTTTTCTAAGCGGACTTTAGTACTATACTTATTGCGAGCGAGGCGAGCTTTATCTTTGGGAGGCCAACAAAATAGGTACACCCATGATTATCCGCACGGTGTATATCGGCATGCTACAGGGATACACAATCGATACCCCACAGTCATTGTAGCTTTGCGCCAGATTGTGGGAAGATTCCACACTGTGCGCCACGAGTGCAATTCATTGGGAGTCGCGAGGTTTCCGACGGTCGGACGGCCACGTCCTCATAATGGGCCACATTAACTGGTCACAAAACATGCCTAATTAATTTGATTTGCCTTCTTCCCAACGTGGTCTTTCATGCATTTGCCACATATCCCTCCGTTGTTGTAATTTGGTACTCTTTGCATGTGAACCTTCGCGACGTGAGCCATCGTGAATGTTTGGTTTTGTCAAGATCACAATTATGTCAATCTAGAATTGTCAATTTATCTGTTAAAAACGTTGAATAAGTACGACCTCACAGCTTGCAACCGTCCTGAGAGACGAGATTGTGGCCTGAGAAAAGTGTGACCGCAATTGCACGTGACATGATACGCGCAACGTCACGGCTAATTCCATCTCCACGCGTTCTCTGCTCCTGCCATTGTTCTCGCTCCGCAGTGCAACTCGCTGGCAACCGCAGTGATTTCTGGCCACAAAGAACAGGAAGCGCGTCTGCCACACAAACTACCACAAACATGCGCGATGACACTATAAATTCGAGCCGTTCCAAGTCCGCCTCGGTAAGTATTCCTGAACTTATACACACATATCCCTGCAACGCCGTGTGACATGTCTATTCCTCCTTCTGCGCTCCATCGCCCTCACTTGAAACCGCTGAGCTCTCGTTGGCAGTTCCAGTCCGGTCAGCCTGAGGGTGGCGCACACCGTCGCTGGGCAGGCAAAGAGGCAGCCAACCACTTCTACGGCCTGGCGCCCATGAATGAATTCTTTGACATGGCGTTTCCTGGGCTTCAGCCTCACGGAGTTGATGAATCCAAACTGGACTACTTCAAGACCACCTTGGGGCTGGTACCTGTTGGTCCACGCGTACTTGAAAAGGAAATGTATAAACCACTGGTGCGCGCTTTATCACTGGCTCGCTCCTTGGACGCTCTGACGGTCTGCTCAGGAACTGGCCTTGGGCGAAATAGCTAAGGTTGTTCGGGGACAGGGTACCCTACAGCCGATCATTGCGGCGGAGCACATGACCAACATCCCCGACGAAGGTCTCAAGTTATCTCCAGATATCGCGTTTCATACGGAAGAAACGGGTCGTCTATCTTCCTGGGCTTACGGTGTCAGCTTTGTCGAAGTAAAACGGGATGAGAATGACGATCCTTTGCATCTGACCGACAGGAAGGCCAGTCTTCGTAATGTCGACGTCTGGAATCAGATAACCGAGTATGCTGCCGTCGCTCAAAAGATGATATCGCGGTGCTTTTATGTGGCAGCCGGGGTATTTGGAGAGAAGGCACGATTCTTTTTGTGGGACCGCTCTGGCGTACTGGCCTCGGAGAGCTTTCGCTACAAGGAGGACCCTGAGCCGTTTGTGACCTTCCTGAATGGGCTGGCAAACTACCGATCCGGGGGCTTGGACGCCACTGCTCTTCACCAGCTAACCCCGATCGAAGTTTCTCGGATCTGCGAGGCTTGGGGAAAGGTGGAAGAGCTTGGCCTACTGAAGGGAAGGCACTATCCGACTACCAGTCTCTGGACAGACCTTTCACGCGAGAGCAGCGTTGTACTGCTTCCCGGCTCCCCTTCTCAAGTTGAGGAAAGATATCTCACTATCGGCCGTCCTCTCTTCGCTACCGAATCAAACTTTGGTCGGGGAACCCGGGTCTGGTTGGCTATCAGAGCCGAAGGATCCACAGATGAATTTGTGATTATCAAAGATGGCTGGCGCGACGCAGAAAGATGGTCGGAGACAGGAATATATAAATATATACGCGAGAAGTTGGGGAAAATACGAGGCTTAGCAAGACACAAGGACGGTTGTGACGTAGAAGAACCAGGGTATCCTCATCGATCACTCGCGCACCGTCTCGCCGCCTCCTTGGGAATTCGGCCCTCGCAACACCGAGTCCATCACAGGTGTATCCTGAGCTCCGTAGGCAAACCTCTCTCAAGTTTCAGCTCGACGTATGAGTTACTTGAAGCTGTGCGCGACGTTGTCAAAGGTGTGTCTTGATACGAGTCTCGGTGAGCTTGCGTAATGAAAGACGATGATACAGGTCTCCGTGACCTGGCGAAACAAGATGTCCTTCATCGAGACATCAGCGCAAATAATATCATGATCAGCATCGATCCAGCGAAGGAAAATGGCGCCAAGGGTTTTCTGATTGATCCAGAATTAGCATTTATTCCAGAAATGTCGAAGAAAGAACTAAAGTACCTTACGGTGCGTACGTCTGCCTCCGTTGCCCGTGTACCTCATTGACAAACATCATCTAGGGAACTATCCAATTCCTGTCCATTGAGCGACTACAAGAGAACCAGAGCGACCACAAATCATGGCATGATTTGGAGTCCGTCTTTTGGACCGTTCTCTGGGCAGTTCTTCGACACACCAACTCTTGGGTGACCATTACGGAGTACGGTACCCCGCGGCCTGGCAAGGACTGTGTCACCGAGATATTTGACACTCCGAAGGGAGGCGGCAAAATGATATTCCTCACTCTCGGAAAAGTCGAAGTTGAGGGCAATGTCCCGCTCACGAACTGCCTCGCCAAGCTTCGATTTCTGGTATACACCAAGTACGTCCGGGATC